AAATCATGTCCATGGACTTCATGGATACTCTTATGAGCATCAAGAGTGGTAAAAGGCACATCTTCGTCATTGTGGACAGGTTCAGTAAGTATGCTAGACGAATCGCTATGCCCGAGACAGCTAGGACTGACCACGTCATCAATCTGTGCATGGACAACTGGGTACGTGACTTCGGTCTCCCGAATCGTTAGTTACAAGCTAACTGTGGCGAAGTACAGCCCAACAGATGGGCACCGGACTGCAAATGACATCACGGAACCACCCTGAGCCAAATGGTCAGGCCGAGCAGATGAACCGGGTAATGCAGCACTTGCTTCGGCATTATATTAAGCCAAGTCAAGATGACTGGGATGAGAAGTTACCTCTCATCGCCAGCCTGTACAACAATGTTGTGCACAGCACTACCGGTAAAACCCCCAACCAGCTGCATCTTGGTTGGAAGCCCAGATCTGCTCTTGACTTCCTGTTACCTGAAAATCAGCCAAATGCAGCACCTGGCAGCATAGAGTTTGCCGTCAAGTATGAACAGATGTTGCCGCAGGTCGTTGAGCACATTAAGAAATCTCAAGATGCCATAGTAGCATCAGCACCACTAACACTGGTGGGGGGGTGTTAAAAAAAAAAAAAAAAAAAAAAAAAAGCATCTGCGAACAGACACAGACGACACTGTATTTCACGTAGGTGAGCGAGTCTGGGTTAAGTCATCTGAGTTGAGACACGAGCTAGGAATCTCTCGTAAACTGATACCATAGTATTTCGGACCCTGGGAAGTTTTGGATATCATTGGAGATCAGCCAGATGATCCATCATATGTTATTTCCATCCCTGGTCCGTATCCGTTACTTGTTCAGCCTCGTGGCTGAGGTGATGAATGTATCCCCATATCCGTTACTTGTTCATCCTTGTGGCTGTGTTCGTGAACACATTTTATTGCCACGTTACATCACTGTGCAGACTGACATGAAGGAGATGGTACCAACCCATGAATTGGGGTGCACAGCTGTTCTTATTTGTTTTATGTGCCAGAGAGACACGATTTCAATTCATTTATGCGAGTAAAAAATCACCATCTTTTCCAAGAACCCATAAAATTGCGTCGTACGCGTAGTATTACTTCACTAGCGGGTCCGAACCCCAGTGGCGGCTTTGCGGCAGGGGTGTCAGGTCCACGAAAAAAGAGAAGTAAAAAAAAAAAAAAGAAACAGAACTTAGGGTGGGAAAGCAGTTTCATACATTCTGCAAAAGTGTAAATGTGGGCATGCCCTCCTTCACAAAGTGTCAGCAGACTGTGGACTGCGCAGTGCCTCCCTGGGAGGGCATGAAACAAAAACAACAAGAAAAACAGCAGCAACAACAACCTGAAACTGGCCACAATTGTAGTTAGATACTTTCTTGTGAGTATTGGTGTGAGCAGAACTTCGTGCACTTGTCTTTTGTTTTTCTTTTTGCTTTTCGAAGGGGCCCACAATGCCCAGCTGCCAGGCCTCCACCGACCCCCGAAAAGTTCGGAAAAAGTGGGAAAACAACCACTTTTCCCATTTTTCCCAACACTGGTGGAGGTAGTGGTGGTTTAAACCACCAATACTTCGCCCATGCATCGGCCGCGGCGAGAAATAGAGCCGCAACAGTTCCACGCGAATGAATTTGGACCGGAGCGTTCCACCCAGCGCGTTGCAGCTTGTCTATGGCCTTGACTTTTGGAAGTACTGGTGGTTTAAACCACCAGTACCCCGCCCAGCTATTGAAGCTGAGGGTGAAAATCCCCTGAGCTCTGATTTCTACCGAGCCTGGGGCCGAAAGGTACCAGTTGCGGGTTTTAAAAAGTGGTACGGGTACCACTCTTCATCTTCATTACAAATCGTGGTCTCCGCCTGTGAATTTCCGGCACGTACATCATGGCTGCAGGTACCGTGCCACGTCGGGCAGTGCCATGTAAGGCCAACTTCAAACTTCTTTTTCTTTCTTTTTGTTTCTTTTTCACGACATCAGGTAAGTGTGAGGCCATCGTCGATCAGGGCCCTATTGAAAATTGTCTCAGTGGTTGGACCAGCAGGTCAGCGGAATTGAATTGAGAATACAGGTGGTTTTGGGTGAGCTATAGCTCATTGTGAGACAGGGGGTGAGACAGGGGGTGGAGGGAGGGAGGTGGGAGGAGGAGGGGTGAGACAGGGGGTGGAGGAGCGGGACCAGCAGGTCAGCAGAATTGAGTTGAGCATACAGGTGGTATTGGGTGAGCTATAGCTCATTGTGAGCCTTCCCAGTCAAACAGGGGGTTACTGCACCTGTTCTGTCCCCTGAAAGTGGCATGTGGAAGTATTGTAAGGGTTGGGAGGACCATCTGCTCGCTAGTGGGCTTTGGTCTTTCCTAATTATTGGGCCTCCCTCGACTACTCAACACTCTATATGCATTTGGACGCCTTCCTGGGTCCTGTGCATTTGGAAGAGTCAACATTTGGAATGTATCGGGCCAGTTATGACGTCCACATACATGTAGAGTGTTCATTAGTGGACAAAGGATCATCGTCTGGTTACAACAAAAAAGAAGAGACTCCCCTCAAATCTTTGCTCCCAGGCACTTGATTGCTCCCCGTCTAGGAACGGCCCAGATTATTCCTTGTTATGCGAAAAAAGAAGACCGAAAAGAATGGCATACTAAGCTCTGACCGTGATTGCCTTCAGAATCATCCATGGTGGGTCATAAGTGCAGTAACCCCTTCAGAATCATCCATGATGGGTCATAAGTGCAGTAACCCCTTCAGAATCATCCACGGTCGGTCATAAGTGCAGT